AGCGCTTCGGGCTGGAGGCTCCCAGCCTCCCCCACCAGCCTCAGCTCCTCCTGTGCCCGCACAGCCGGGGGGGCGGGGAGAGCTCTCCCCCTCCAAGTCCCCCCTGTTCTGTCGCCTCCCTCCATCCCGCTGCCCAGCTCCTCAGGGCGATGTTGGGGTGCAGACAGAGATCCCGGGCAGGTGAATGAGCCCATTGCGCAGACCCTGCAGTGGCGACAGCAGCCACCCCGTGGGCTCTGCTCCGAGTGGGGCTGACGGGGCAGGATGGGGACAGCAGGGTGGAGCTGGTGCTGCTCCTCTCCCTCAGCCTGCACAGCAGAGGAGAAGGGCTTTGCCTTCAAAAGCTGTGCAGGGGCAGAGCCTTTGGGACTTTTCTAACACGCCAAGAATGATCTAAACCCACCCAGGCAGGAGAGAGGGCACACAGGACCCCCCCAGCTACTGCTATAAGTGTTTCTGGGGCACAACTCATCTCTGCCACGGTTGGGGCAGGTACCAAAGCCAGCAGGCAGGGCCCACAGCATCCCTCTACATCAGGGTCACACACTGGGGAGCAGGGTTCCCCCAGTAACTGCTGACAGGGTTTTGTCTCCGTTATGGGAGGACTGATGAGCTCCGGGAGGGCTGAGCTCCACTGCAGGGCTCTGAACCCCCCTGAGGGTGCTTTGGCCAGTTCTCATTTGGACCTTGGAGACTTCACTGCTTAGGATGGGTTTTGGGTGGTCCCAAGATTTCTGCTGCAGGTCCCGGGGCCACCAACAGATCTGAAGCCAAAGAAGCTCAGGAAAGGCTGAACCCAGAGTTTGTATCCAGATCAGCCTCTCCTGAGCACAGGCAGTTTTACAAGAGGACAGAGACATTACAATAAAACCATTTGCAACTCACTGAGACATGCTGTTCTGGGGATGGACAAAATGTACCTCAACTGGAACAGGTTTTGCAAGCCAAAATCCAGCAAAGATCAGAAGCGTGCCCTTCCCAGCCTCCGCAACGATCCCCAATAAAAGGGACACTCACAGCACAGGACCAACTCCTGCGTCACCCACCCTCAGGATCAAACCTTCCCCGGGGAACACTGCAGCAGCAGGAGCTGCCCCACTTACACACAAATGCTCATCTCATCACTTAACCACAGGAGATTGAATTACACTCATTTCCCCCAGTAACAGACGCCACTGGGCCCGTGCAGGCCATGTCATCTCCTGTTAGAGCCCATCTCCTACCAAAATCCATTTCTGTCCGCCCCCCCATGCCCAGTGTCCTGCCGGAGTCGCCTCCTCTGAGGGATGCTGCTCCACAGCCGGGACTGGAGCTGCGGGTGCTGGACCAGGCAGCATCTCCTTTACCAGAGGAGGCCTCAAAATCTCCCCGTAGCTCTTTAACTCTGCCTCCACAGTAACGGATCGCTCCCAAATCCCAGGGGCTCCAGAGGAAAGGGCTAATGCACATGTTTTTGAGTGTGCCCATACCTCCCCTGCTACTGGAAATATTAATGACAGCATCCATTAGCGGGGATGACAGATCCCCTTTCAGCACAACAGAAGGTTCTCGAGTGACTGTCAAAATACCCTACGAAGAGGGGAAAGAACAGGTCCCCACGGGCCCTCTTCTAATTAAGGATGGAGAGCAGGTCTAAATATCAGGTGCAAAGCGCACACCCATGCTCTGAAGTGGAAAGTCGGATGCAGGATCCGCAGCTCGGGGTTGGGGTCGTGGCTTTAAGATGCCCCTGGGGTCCTCGTGCAGCCCCAGGCGTGATCTCACAGCATCAGGCCCACAAGCGCAATTTGATCACGGCACTCGGGCAATAAGACAATCGGGAACACGCAAAACAGTATCTGAGAGGATTATTTCATCCAGTCTCTGATTGCGAGCAAATACAGCGTCAGCACTTGTACAAAACACTGTTACTCTCCTACGTGCTCATTTGATGGGGACTGTACCTGGAGCTCTCCCTGGCTATCACATTCCTAATTTTTTACAAAGGAGTTAAAGCTCGGGCTGGGCTGAGGATGGATTTAGAAGAGCAAAACAGGAGCATCTCCCTGTGCCCCCTTGGCAAGAGCTTCCCCAAGCCCCACCTCAGCCTGCAGAGCTGCGGCCTCGCACCTCTCACCTTTGGAAAGAACCCTGAGTGTTTCTGCAGCAAATACACGTCTGTGTGCGTGAGGGGGACGCTGGAGAAATGGAGGGATGGACACAAGGAAGTGAGAAGAGAAAATGATGCGAATGTTAGGGATCAGAGCAGATGGGGAGGTCGGGGGGTGGAGGAAAGAGGGAAGCTGCAAGAGCCAGAGCCAGCAGCAGAACTGGGGATCAAAGCCGTAGTTTACATCATAAATAATGAATCAACAACTAATTAAATAGTTCAAATCAGATTAATTTTTACAAGACACCAGCTTTTCTCGGCTGCAGGGGAGGGGGCTGACGGGGGACACTAGAAGTATTCCTGCGGAAGGGCATCGCAGCTCACCCTCCTGAGCAGACCGTGGCTCAGCCCCGGGGACCGCTGCTTGTTTAGGCGAAAGCACCCAGGAGAGGCAGGATGCAATCTGCTCTCGCTCAAACGCAGCATCTCTATTTCATACAGCAGCGAGTGTGAAGTGCTGATAAAACCAGAAAGGCGCCCGAGGGGCAGGAGCAGCCCGGAGGAGCCTCCAGGAGGGAGAACGCCCAACACGGCACTCCCCGACCTCCTCACGCTGCCTGCGCCTTATTAAAAATAACAAAAATCCACCTTTCCCACACTCTTCCCTATTTGTTTTAGAAGTGAGAGGAAAATGAATAGAAGGGAGCAAAGCTGCAGCCAGGCAGCACCTTCGCAGGCAGCTCCTGGGGCACCGTCAGAGGACTCAGCCTCGGGGAACGGGGCTGGCAGCGACGGAGCAAGAATTTGCTGCCGTGGGGTGTAGGCGCAGCTTCGACGCTCGCTGCCCTCCGCAGACCTTGGGCGTTGCAACACGCCGGTGAAGAAACCAAACTGCAAAGACTTGGAAAAGTCAATTTATTAGTTAGTGCAGCGCTGGCATCGCTGGCAAACCCACACCACAGCGCTGCCTGCAAAACAGATCGAGCTAAAAGCTGGTCCTTGTCCCAAAGTGCTTACGACGGGAGCACAAGACACATGAGAGGGAAGCAGGCAGAGGGTGAAGGCAGGGGAACAATGAGGCAGTGTTAGCTGAAAGGCCGTGGGTTCAGGACACCGTTTGGGGCATGATTCTCGTTGACATCAAGTGATTTCATGTGACTGACTCACTTCAGGGCTGCTGGAACAAACTGCGTGGAGCAGCTTTGATGGAAATGCATCTCACGCTCTTCTCCACTTTGTCCCCGAATCCCCTGGCTGGAACACTGCTCGGCCCTCTCCTTCTATTTCTTTACGGCAGGGTCCCTCCTTCCCCGCCACACTGTATAATTAAGCACCAGCCTTATTTAGGGGCCTGTCATAAAAAAATATTAAACCAGGGCATGAGGCAGGCTGGGCTCACCTCTCAGCGCTGCGCCGGGAGGCTGGGATCCAGCCCTCTGACCCAACCAGACGAAAACTGAGCAGGATTCGGGACGGAGTCTCCTCCCTTTCAAGTGTTGGTAGCAAAATCTTCCCTTTTGGGTGACAACACAGAGGCCAGGTGGTTTTTCCACCCAGCCAGAGTCCCCCGAGGTAGGACGTGAAGCAAATACTGGACTATCGCTGTTTGCTCAGGTGCGTTTCAAGGGCTGTTAATAATGAGCGGGGTGCTGGATTTTTTTTTTTTTTCTTTTTTTTTAAAGCAGCACTGGACTGGG